AAAATCAAGATAAAAATGCAAAATTCGTTTTAAAAAGTGGTAAAATAACTCTGTTGAAAATCGTACCACAAGTATCCCATATCTCGATTTTGGTCAAAAACTAAAATCTTATTAAAACGGAAGCGTGAGCAGATTGACATGGGCACCTCTTCCAACGTCATTTGGTAAGGTATAAGCAAGCTGTGTGCCAAATTTCATGCTTTTATCACTCTTGTCACGATCAGGTCATTAAGCCACCTGAATATATTGAGTGATGAATGAGTTGCACAACGACTGTGACGGTTTAGCATAAATGAGCTCAGTCACGGCATTTTGAGTTGCTCTGTTTACTTACAAAATTTCCTTTAAATTGAAGAAAACCTGAAAATAGTAGTTTACTAAGAAAGAAAATACCAAAGAGATAACAATAAACATAAAGGAACAAGGATGGTTAAGGATGGAGAAGATTAACAAGGATTACTAACGACGAACTTGAAAAAAGTTTAGGTTAAACTCTTCAAGGTGGGCAAACCGTGACAAAGCTATCGGTGCTTTTCTAATACAGCAACCATCAGAAAGATTGATTCTCCATATAACATGTTGAGTTATCGAATAATTGATATTTAATATTCGTCCCAAAGATTCATAGTAATGCTAGTATCATCAGTGAGTGTCCATACCCGTACTTCAATGGAATTCAGTGGTTGAAGTCAATCAGTTTCGCCTTAATATTGTTTGGCCCCATGACTAGGTTAAGCTAACTTGCATCTAATAACGTGTATAAGTTGCTGTAGTTCGCATACACAGCGTTTAGAAGTGGTGTAACATGAACATATTAGATTGAACCCATTTTGTGCCATTAATTCTTTTAAATAATCCCGGATTCACTTACTTTGTTTGGATAAGCTTTTATATACAGTCGAACCTCCCGTAAGCGACCATCCAAAATGCCAAGCCTAGGTGGTCGCTTACGAGAGTTTGGACTATATTGGGTCAAAATTGTGCCTCATCAGCATATGGTAACTGCAGAGACCTATCCCGTACGCCAACGCTCATCTAACCCATGTAAAAACTTTAACGACCACGAAAATATTTAAACTTTCCAAGGTACAGTGGAACCTGTATATAACGGCCCTTTATTATCCAACTGCAGCGACAGTACTGTCCAAATAACAGTACAAATATACAGCGATACTGCACAGTTATTTATACAGTAGAAAACCTGTTTGCCGTACAGGTCGGCGCGCGCACGCAAAACTCACACACTCTCCCTCTTTCATTGATAAATTTATTGACTACAGTAATAGCCCACGTATAAGAACCTGGGTTTTAAGAACCTGTTAGGCTAAAATTTTCATTTTAAGTCCCCTCCACATAAGAACCCATTAAGGCTAAAATTTTAAGTTAGGTCCTTATCAGTGGGATTACAGTAAAAGTTTATGGGTAGAAACTGCTGAGTTAAGATCATTATCTATTTAAAAGTAACTTGACAGTGTAAAATGGGGTTTACTAGCCTTCACGACTTCTACGGTTCGTGTCATTTGTACATTTGCCGTTGTCTGTTCAGTCCCTCGACCTTTTTGTTGCTTCACTCGTGTTTATTAAGGGTACTTCATGTTGTCTGATGACAGCTGATGGCTCGGATGATGATATGATCAAACGTCAGCAGCCAGAGCCATACAGTTTTTAATTTATTTTTTTCATTTCTCCTTATTGCTTGAACTTGTTATGTATTTGGTATCAACATGAGTTTCTTTGTTGTGTTTTGTTAAGGACATATACTATACCTGCACTGAACTGCCTATAGGCATTGCTCTATGGTACAAATAAATGATTTATACTGTATTATGAGATGATATTTCTAATATATATAGTATATTCAGATGAAATTCATATAAAAATATAAGAACCTATTTTAAGAACCTTGGTAGCCTAAATTTACTTTAAGTACCATTTATATAAGAACCTATTTAGGCTAAATTAAAAATTCAGGTTTTTATATGTGGGCTATTACTGTACAGCAGTTGGATGATAAATCTCTTATTAGATATTTTGGTGTGTAGTATCGCTTTATATTTTTACTCGTTGTTTGTATTTTGACTCGCCCTACGGGCTCGTCA